GCGCAGTATCCACAACGTTCCTCTAACCAGCCATCCAACTCTCGCACCCGTGTTCGGACCATCAACATATAATCAGAATCACCAGCACGCCCCCCTCTCAGCCGTAGACCCGAACTCTAACCCAAAACACTCATTCACCTTCACCACCGCACCTCAGGGTCCTTCAATTCACCAATCCCCACCATTTTACCCGGCTGAATTGCCGGCGTTCCCGCATTCTCTTCCATTATCCCGCTCAAATTCAAATTCTAATGCGCAACCCCCGCGTTATCTGCAACCGGATAGAGATAGAAGAGAAGGTAGACTTTCAACTCAAGCATCATATTTGACACAGCCGCTTCCATCGCCATCGCCATCGGAAACAGAAACGCTGTTGAAGAATCTTATATTACCAGAATTAGAGACATTAGAGAAGGGTGAGAGGGCTAGAAGGGAGGAGGAGGAGAGGAGTAGGAGGGAGTGGGAGAGGGAGTTTGGGATTTTGTGAGGAGATGAATTTTAGTGGGGGCGAAAGGATGAAATGAGGAGGGATGGATTAGAATAATCAGTTAAATAGATGGGAAATTGTCACAAGTTGGATAGAATGAGAATGGATAGAATGAATGGATTGGACAGAACAGAAATCATACACATATACAACTACAGAAGAGAGAGAACAGAACAGAGCAGACAAGATGATAGTAATCGCAAATATTCATTTAAGTTAATAGTTTAATGGCAAGCGGTTGGTTAGACCTGAGCTGTAGTCTGTAAGTCATATATGATTAGGTTTTTCTTGTAAATTGTATGTAAGCATTCACTGCTTTATGGGCTTTGAATCTGAATCCGGTATAAAAATTTTGCATTTTGGGGATATCAATAATTTTAAAAACTAAAATGATACATCTTATAGTACTTACTCTTCGATATAAAAATCAGTCATTCTCCCCTTTTTACTATACCAGAAATGTACCCGGCACCGTTAGGGCTTGTATTTATCAGGGTAAACATCGGCTAAAATAGGTCCAACGTTGGTGCAACAGCGCTAAGGCACAGTACCCCTCTCGCGTTCTAAACGACAAATGAAAGCACCCTCTCTAATCAATCCTCCGCACAACGAACGAACTTGACCTTTAAGTAATCTCATATTCATCCAGTTCAGCATTTGGAAGAGGGAAGAAAAACATATTCAGGACCTCCAACTTCTGCGCAAGGATGGCTGAAATGGAAGTACCAGCAAAAGCTGGTCGTCCCACCTTGGGCAGTAATATGCGCAGTCGATCTTACCTTCAAGAACATCAGCAATATCGTCCTCCACAGCAGGATGGTCATCATGGTATAGATAGCATCGTTGAGGGTGTGCAGGGAAGTGCGATCTCATCACCTACTAAATCGTTCACCCAATACAACGGTGTTCCCTCTCCGCAGCATCCTCCGAAGATTGTCGACAGCGGACTCAACCATACCCTGTCACACGCGAACTGCCAACCCGCGCCCAATACCGTCTCGGATCGAATGATCGCAACCCTTATTTACAAGACGCAATCTCCCCGTCTCTCCATCACCGATTATCCAAACGATCGCTCTCCCTCTCCTGCCTCTTCTCCCTCTCGATCGTCGGCTACTTCGTCTTCGCGCGCTATCCCTCCAAACCTTGCACCCGTCCGCACCCTCTCCAATTTTCCACTCGAGCCACCACCACCAGATCCAGAACCGCTAGATCATCTCTACGGCAGCTATATCTCGCAGCTCTGCCTCACATCTTTCCTTCACCTCATTCAATCTCTACCCAGCAGATCGGGCTCCGATTTCCTCTCTTCCTCTCATCGCTGCCTCGATAATCCCGATCATCCCTCCATAGTCGAACTTACATTCTCGCCCATCCCCGATCCTACATACCTCGATCTTCAAGATTTGCGTAAGCATGAACTTCTCTACCGTTTCGAGCGCGAGTGGAATGTCGACGTTATTCTCCAACATGATACCGTGCTTCGACGTTATCCACGCCTCGTCGTTTTCGACATGGATTCTACACTCATCGAACAAGAAGTAATTGATTTGATCGCTGCTTCTATCGGAGTCGAAGACGCAGTATCTGCCATTACCGCACGAGCTATGAATGGAGAATTAGATTTCTCCGCATCTCTTCGTGAACGTGCGAAGTTGTTGAAAGGAGTAGAAGCAGATATATTCACACAATTAAGAAGTGTAATTAAACCCACCAAAGGAGCCGTAGAACTCATTCGCGCACTAAAGAGAATGGGCGTCAAGACTGCAGTGTTATCCGGAGGTTTTATACCCTTGACACAATGGCTCGCCGATCACTTGGGCATTGATTACGCCTTTGCAAATACTCTCGAATCCGACCCAAACACCCACACATTAACAGGCGAAGTTCTCGGCTCCATCGTCAACGCGGAAAAGAAGCGCGATCTACTTTTAGAAATCGCAAAGAAGGAAAATGTTGCGTTGGAACAGGTGGTCGCAATCGGCGATGGTGCAAATGATTTGCTGATGATGGGCGTAGCGGGCTTGGGAGTCGCATGGAATGCTAAACCGGTGGTGCAGATGGAAGCTCAGGCGAGATTGAACGGAGATACTTTGTTGGATCTCTTGCATATCTTTGGATTGACGGCTGAGGAGATTAAGGTTTTGATTTCGTAGATGGGATGTCGATAGAAAGGCTTTTTTACTCGAGATGCACGCGGGAGCACGGGAGGGATAGGCGGATGGTGGTGCTGAAGCTGGAGCTGGAATTGGGGCGGGGGCTAGGGCTGCTAGGTTGAATGGTTAGGAGGAGTTAGATATAGGCCAGGCGGAGGAAATGATAGATTTTTGTATATCCTTTTCTATTCCATTCTATTCCATTCCATTATGCACTGTTCTGCACTGTTTTGTTCTGTTCTTTTCTTTCTTTTTTTTTTCTGCTCTGCGAATCAAGCATCTTTCAGCATAGCATCATCACGAAGCATGAACGCGACATGAATATCACATAAATATCATATACCTATTAAGAGATGACTCTCCCTACCTATCTAGTAGATACATGATTTATCACCTTTATTTTTTTTTTTTTTTTTTTTTTTTTTTTTTTTCCCTCTCCATATTTTCCCGCCAAAAATCAATGAAAATAAATGAAATGATATCTTGGTGATGGATATAATGCGATATATATAGATGCTCTGATATTATACGAGTACCCCTCTTTATATACATACATTCATATATATACACTCTTCTCTCCTCCTTACTCCCGCTCTCTCTCCTCCCTAATTCCCCCTCTTTAAAAGCACATATCTATCTCTAAGAACACCACACCCCCCCTCCTCCTCCACTCTTCTCCCCCTCCACCCCTCCCCCCCCCCCAATCAAAATTCATCTGCCAGTTATCCTAATGCCCCAATACCGTCTATACACTTTTCCTCCATTCCTTTCTCTTCTCCCCGTCATATTCTGGAATCGGTATTTCTAATTTTTACTTTTTACTTCTTACCCTCCGATCTTTCTTCCTTTCTTTCTTTAGCATTTATCTATCTATCTTTCTACCTATTATTTTGAACGTTGAACTGGTTTTAACAATCAACATTTTCAAAAACTCAAAGGACCAAGGGTCTCGATGGGACGTTTTCCGGATGATTGAATAGGCTGGACAAGACACTCTCTTACCACTTGCAAAGGCTTCTTGGGATTCAATTCACAACGGAAATATTTCCACATCTCAAATTTCAAAAGTACGAGGAAGAAGTCAAATTTTAATGTAGAACGAAATGTCATTTATTAACTGTCTCATTTTTATTTCATGCAGAGGTTTAAATCAAAGAACCCATAGTCGATGCATCCATACCAGGCAGGAAATCCTTGTTCCAAAGCAAGGCAACCCCGCCTGAGTATAGGCATACAATTTTAACATAACAGGCAGGCAGTCCTTGTCCAAAGCAAGGCTATCCCCACCCATATATGTTCTCAGATAATGAACAAATAGAAGCAGGTTACTAAAGACATCTGAAATGCCAATAGCAAGAAGATCTAAGATAAATATCGAAACCGACGCCTAAGACCATCCACCAACAGCTGGGACTCCCCAACCATCACCAGCTGGAGCAGCCTTAGTAGTTTCGGCGGCACCCCAACCACCATCACCACCACTACCGGCAGCAGCATCATCTGTTCCCCAGGCACCACCAGCATTAGCATCGCCTTCAGCATTTCCACCACCTTCCTCATCATCTGAATCGGCTTCAAACTTAAGAGTAGCGAGATCACCGGTTTGACCATCCATTGTAAAGCCTTCAGGGAGATATGATTCAAGGAAATCAGGAACAGCTTGACGGGTTTCCAACAATGTCTTGACTAAGGCTTCGGCAATATCTTCATTACGATCATTGTAGAATGAGCTTGCAAGCCCCCTATTACCAATACGACCAGTGCGACCTATTGATTGTTTATAAGTCAGCTGTAAAGTCTTGTTGGGACAGACGGTCCTACCAATTCGATGAGTATACTCTTCAATGCCACCATGAGCCTGAGATGGTAGATCGAAATTGATCACATGCATAATATTGTGGACATCTAAGCTTTGAGAGTGTTAGTAAATGACCTGGAAGAGGAATATTGAGTGAAAGAGGATATCGAAATGGGCAAGGAGAGAGATGTAATGGTATACGTACCCACGAGCAGAAACGCCAGTAGCGATCAAGATGGGCATCCTGCCATTGCGGAAAGCACGAATGGAGTCTTCACGCTCGCGCTGCGTACGATCACTATGAATAGACGTGCATGGAAGATCATTGTTGAACAAGTAATCATCGATTTCATCGGCGGTACGCTTGGTGTTGACGAATATGATGGTACGAGCAGGTGGAATTGATAGAAGCAGATCATAAAGAGCTTTACGCTTGCTGGCCGCCTCAACGTAGATGATATCCTGCTTGATATTGCTGTGAGAACTACCGGCTCGACCAACACGGATGCGAACATGATCGTGAGCTAGATGCTCCTTCGCAATATCACGAGCCATCTTTGGGAAGGTAGCAGAAAACATCATATAATTGATGTTGCCCTCTTCTTGATCTATTTCAAAATTAGTAATGTACAAACCAAACACAAACAACTGAAGTACTTACCACCACCGCTCATAATCTGCCTCAACTCTTCCTCCCAACTGGAGTCTAACATCTCATCTGCCTCATCGATGACCATATATTTTAGGCGCTTGAGGGTTAGAGCATGAGGACGGCGAATCATGTCGCAGAGACGACCTGGAGTGCCAATAAGGAGGTCACACCCCTTAGCAAGTTGACCAAGTTGCTCAGCGAGAGGACCACCACCATAAACGACGCAAGGTCGAAGCATAGTGCGATAGCAGAAACGACGAGCCTCGTCGAAAATTTGAGTTGCCAACTCACGACTTGGGCAAACGATGACGACCAATGGCTCAGCCTTAATATAATTATCTTGACTTGGCACATAGGTGGCAGGGTTTGGGCGAGGTGCGGCAAGCTTCTTAGCCTTACCCATCAACTTTGACAAGATTGGAATCAAGAAAGCAGCAGTCTTGCCAGAACCTGGAAACATTAAAATTCAGCAAGCAGTTTATGTTTAGCAAGAAGCGATTACAACTTACCGGTTTGAGCGCAAGCAACTACATCATGACCTTTCTTCACTGCTGGGAGACAGTACTGTTGTATAGGGGTTGGGACATGATAACCAGCAAGCTTTACATTTTCAAGCATAACGGGATGTAAACCCGCGTCCTCAAACTTGCGGATGGGGTCAATCTTGACGGTTCCCTCTTGGGTAACCGTGAGAGTAGTAATGCTAAAAGAAAAAGTTAGCATTTTATTGTCTACTGAAAAACGAAAACAAATACCTTTCAAAGTTGACGCCTTGACGAACATGGTTGTTGTTCTTGCCAAACAACTGATCCTCGAGATCGGGAAATCTAGGGCCAACATCACCATATTCCTCATTCCACTCGTACACCGCGCCACTCGAGGCCCATTCTCCAGGAAGAAGACCACCCACCGCAAGTGTCTCAGGCTCGACATCATCATCTGCATTGGCTGCTAGGTCAGACCTCGCTTCTGCAGCATCTGCAGCAGCAGCTACACGAGCTTCTGCTTGTTCCTTGGTGGACTTATTGTAAGTCTCGTAGTCGTACTTCTTTGCAACGACCCATCCAGCCTCTTGAGGATTCTTGCGCTCTACGACGGCAGCATCAGGTGTTTCAGTCGCACCGGGCAAGGCAGCAGCCATATCTCCGGTGCCCCAAGCAGACATGTTTACTTAAAAGTGATCTGTAAAGAAGTAAATACTTGGCTCAGTTCAAAAAGTGTGTAGGGAATAGCAGTGAAGAGGAAAGAGGAGAAGAAAACTGTGGTGTTAGGGAGACCGAATTGATCATCTACGTACCTTGGAATTAAAGAGAATGATTGTGTGGAATCTGTGCGATGAGTCAACATGAATCATGAAGATATGGTTGAAGTATGAGAGTAACTAATAAGTGCAAGGTTGATCGAGGTAAAGGAAGGAAAGGAATGAAAGGAAGCAAGAAAAGAAGAGTAAAATGGGAGGAGTGAAAGAAGAAGACAATTTTGTCTGAGGATAGGCGCGACTTGGCAAACTGGAATGAAAAGAAAGTAGCGGGGTATGAATGTACAATAGCCCAATTCACTATGGATGGTAGCAGTGAGGATGAGAAAAGGTGAAAGTGAATAGGTACCAAGTACAATCATACATACAGACAAAGAGGAGATCGAGGAAGTTTATAAAATGAATGCGACCGACTCGGACCAAGGCCGATTTCACAAAGAAAGTGGAACTCCTGACGCTGTTATTAAATTTTAGGAAGAGCCTAGCGAGTGTCGAAATGGAAATGTGTAGATGATGTCCTGGAAGATGGTTTGTTTTGACAGCGGCGTGGAGAAGAAAAGAGGTGGAATATCAGTCAAAACAAGTGGACTTGACTTACAATCAAGAATGGAAAATATATGGAATTCGATTGAAAGTATATCAGATACTTCGATCAGATAATAGAGAAGATATGAGAAGGTATGGGAAGTTAAAGAATCGGTTGAGATGGATGAGATCGATCCAAATGAAAGGAAAATACCTATATCAAGGGGTGGTTGTAAAGGGAAGGGTGAGAGGATTTGGGAAGTAAACGGAAGACGTCGAATTTATTGACAATCTGAGTAACTGAAGAATCGAGAAAAAGTAAACTAGTGTCCTGCTCGTTCTTGAGTTTATGATTGGCTAGATTTGGGAAATTCGATCTTTTATTGGGCGACGAGATTGTGGGGAAATTGCTCTTGCCAAAAGCAACTATATGAGGGGAAAAGGTTGAAGGTTGAACTTGATCGGAATTGGCAAGTACCCATAGAAATATCAAGTATGTACTAGGTACCTTGAGCTTCAAGATAAGTCTAGATCATCGATTATCGATTATTGATCATTCACCATATCTCAACTGTGATACTTTACAATACGTGGATTCAGATATCTACCCAGCATTGCCTGCTTTCATGTTATGCCCGCTTGACAGATGATTATCGTACCTTCGTTTTTGGTAAGACGAGGTAAAAGCTGAAATTCATCCAAAATAACATCTATTTGCTCTACCTCCAGCCCCAAAAGCAGTCGAGGACCATTCCAGATGTTCTGTCCGTCTTACTTGTTCTAAGATAAAAACTGTCAAAATACATACCTATACCTCCTTGTCATGACAAGTCCTTGTCAAGAAGTGAACCTGCCTTCACTAGTCAGTGTGCATCATAACCATCAAGTAGGTTTCTGATGCTTCATCTTCCAAAATTCTATTATTCTAGTACAACAAGTCTTGTAAACTTGCTGTAGAGAAGAGACCTCAAAAAACAAGTCCATTTCCTTCAGCAGAATATGTGTTCAAAACTCTTGTTCAGACTCGAGTAATTTATAAACCGTGGAAGTACATGATTGGAGATATCTTGTCACCAAAAGATCTGAAGCATGTGACTAGTTATACAGTGCTATCATTATAGTTGGACTAGCTCTCCTTGTTCAATATCAATATTTAAAGCTACCAATGATCTCAACAGGCCGATCAATCAGGGTGAGGTGAAAAACTCCTACAACCATCTCTTGCAATCCACACATAGATACTGATTGACACTCCTGCATATCTCAAAAGTAAAGACAATACGCGAACCACCGCCAAAAGAACACTGCCAAAAGAACACTGCCAAAAGAACACTGCCAAAAGAACACTGCCAAAAGAACACTGCCAAAAGAACACTATCAAGAAAGGCTTCATTCCTGGAATATTAACTGACTGTTCTTAGTCGGTGGAGCTGGCTTTCAAAATGTCGCATAGAAGCAACTTCATGTAACAACCAAGAAATTGCGCATACATTACCGACATTTTAATACCTTTCACGAGCTTCCAAAACTCGCATATTATATCTTCAAACGGAAAGAATGAACTCTACTTTGAATGTTCAGTTTTGCCTAGAAAGCCTTAGTTTTCTACGTCGGATACAACCGTCTTAATGATTTGACTACTATTCAAGAACCCGACTCTATCAGACTATCAACAAAGAGGTGCAGACGGAGGCTCGTAGAAACCTCATCTTCTCGGCAACCATCTCCATTGCTTGTGCCATCCATCAAAGATTTACATCAAAGTTGAAAACTACTCGATTTAACCATCTGAAAAGCTTTGGTGCATAGGCCAGTTCTTTGGCATAAAATAGGCTTGACTAGCCGCCCCCTCTGACCCTTAAAAACACATACTTCTTTCCAGAAGAATGTTGATGATTAGTATTAAGCTCACACCAACCCTCGTAACCTTGCTGAGGCATGACTAGATGCTCCAAGTAACGGAATGTCTCATCATACCTAGTTTTGTGGTACTAAGAATAAGATTCTGTCATAGTTAGCAACTTAACTTCCGCTATGGCAAAAGTTTCATGTCATCATCATCATCATTAAAGAAGCAACATACCAGTGACTTCATGGCCGATTCCAACTGCAAATGATTTACAAAGATGTCTGTTGATCGTGAAGTTGAATAAACTTATGAAGATAAGCGAGCTTAAGAGTGCTTTTCTTTCCTAAAAACAGAAGGTAAAAGCTAACCCTTAGTGCCCATTAACCGCCTTCTCAAAGTTCTTGTGAGGACAGTTATGTCTTTCTTGCTACACGAGCTGCAAGCGATGCTAACTTCTATATAGAAAGGAGACATCTGTGCTGCTATTCTAGTTAGGAACGTCTGAACAAACTTGTACAAAAATCTCCTTGACATCTGATTATTCCAGTGACTAAACAAGAACTCTCTTTTCCAGAGCTAGTCAAAACATTAACATAACAGACAAATGACTGTTAGCATGAATCCATATGCATACAACACTTAATCAAAGGTCCCGTTCTTCCCTGTCTCATAAGTAGCCTGCATATCTTAATCAAAGCCTCCCAATCACTAATCACTACGTACTAAATAAATCCCACTCCTCAGACTTCTGAGAAACATAGTAAAAAGGATCCTTCAACCAATCTAAGCCTTCTTAACCTCAATATCGATATCATAATTTCGCTTTATATGCATATATCCTGTAGATAGATCTAATAATTGAAAAATCAATTCTCATTATTGAAAAGATGACTGGCATACTTATAAATAGTATAAGCAGGAAGGATATCAGTCTCTTCCACCTCCTTTTAACCAGTCCTGTTCTACGATATTAATTGAAAAAATCATATTGCTAGTCAAGAGGACTCAGGGAGACAAGTCAAAACTTATCTTTCTTTACCACATCAATACAATCGGTCAACTAGTTCATACCATCGCCAAAAAATTGAGCACAGATCACTTGATATCATACCATTGTTAGAGTAGTCCTAATAAATTTCGCATATCCGGAACAAGACAAACAAAACAGCATGGACGTGCTGATTTCGAGGTTTAAAAGCCCATAGATTATGCAAAAACTCCTCCCTGAATTGCTGCTTCTCCACCGGAAAGACCTGATGTCTTGTGATTCCCTCTGTGAAGAAATCACTTGGGTTATTATCTAATAATTTAATACAAAAAATACCAAAAAGTATTTTCATTATATCACTATCTACTTATTTATCTACCTACTTATCTACTATAACTACTTTTCAAAAAAAAGAGAAGAGAAGCACAAGCAAACAAAGCCAGCTAGCCATCCGCCCAAAATTCATAGGTATCAATCATTAATCAATCAATCAATCTTATATTCTTATTTCTGCTTTCATTCATTTCTTCTCTCCTTCTTCCTCTCTGTCCGTCTTTCTGTTATCAATCTTTCCTCCCTCCCTCCCTTCGTTCCTTCAAATATCTCATTCATGCATTCGATGCGGCCATCGCATCTATCTCTCTCACAATCGAAATCTTCATCCATCAACCCATCCACAGAAGCCTTAGAAATCATCCCTTTCCCCCTAAAATTGCCCACCATCAAAAATCAAGTCATAAACTTTGCTGCGAGAAGAAGAAAGAAAAAAAACCTCATAAACGTAACGTAGCTACAACCATTACGTCAACACAAATGTAATATGATGTAGTGGAAGTAAAACTAAGTGTAAGGGAGAAAAAGTTGAAAATGAAAATCGAAAGTAAAAAGGGGGGTATGCATCCATTCCTTCCATCCTTTCCATCCATCCATCCATTGCCTGCCAATCTGACATGGACTAAAGTACTTGAACATAAAGGAAATAAAATCCATCGTGAAAAGTTGTAAACGTTCAAAGAAATAAACTATGTCTGAGACATAAGACACAATAGGTAATTGTGATCGAAGTCGAAGTCCAAAAATATTGGAAGAAATCGAAAATATGTTTTGCTGAGCCAGTTTCTACACCATTTTCTGCTGCAAATTGCACTGATGCTGCTCCCGCGTACTTCGCAGAAATAAAATGACTTCATAGTTATTGTATCAACATATGCTCACCAAAAAGGTAAGACACATGTCTCAAATAATTCAGATAATCATCGTCTTGCCATACCTTCCCTTTCCTTAAGACGACTGGTTCTCCATCCCTCATACCAAAGATCCCTACTCGCCTCCCTCAATTCACCTCTCCATTCCGCAAACACTGCTTCCTTCAAACGTACAAAATCACAATGTTCAGCATTCATTGGATCCGCAAAACCCCATGGGAATTTACGACCAATAACATCTGGTTCATACATATCAGGGCTAATGATTGAGAGGGGTAGATATGGAATCTCGGCGATTTCCGATTCGCGTTTATGGCGACGAATGGAACCTGAGGAAAGACGCTTGGAATTAGGAGAACCACCCGAACCTGAACCCTCTTCAGAATCAGCATCTTCATCTCCCTCATCGATGCCGTTCTGACCGATAATTGGGCTTTCGGGTTCATCATCTAGTCCGAGTGCTTCAAGTGGGTCAAGATTGGCTTTGCGCAAACTATCCCAAACCGACTTTTTCAAATACGTCATGTGGGCCGTGGTAATAGTGTCAGCTTTTGAGATAACTGGGATAACAGTAGTTTTTCCTTGCAATGTGCGAAGGACTTGTAAGTCAAGATTTTCATCAAGACTACCGAACAAACGATGGCCTGTTCCATATGATCCAAAGTGTCCATTTCCATTTGTGGTAACATTCTTTGAATCTTCAATATTTTGGTCGAGGCGTGCGGGGTCGAGAATGAGGAATACAGCATGAATATGTGTATCTTGAACACCTGGAGCTCTCATAACCTTCATTTCTTCTGTGAAAGTTTCTTCGAATTTACTTTCGAGAAATGAAGACATCTCACGGAGCTGAAGGTCAACAACATTTTTGTCCAAGCCCTCTGAATCCCACAATGTCAAACCAATACGTTCACCTTCGACTTCTGATTCGAGATAATGTGAGAGGAATTTTCCAGACTTCGAGGTGCGTGGAGCAAATATATCATCAGCCAATGGCTCTGGTTTCGATCTCTTCTTAGGAGGTAGAGCGAGGGAGGTTTTGAGGAAATTGAGGAAAGATGTCTTGCCAGCACCGCGTGCGCCGATAATGAGGACACTGCAGAGATGTTAATAAAAGGTGAGAATGAAGTAAAGAGAAAAACTTACTTGAATGGAGTAGGATCTTTGCGTCTTCGAATTCTGCGAGGACTATTAACTGTGCTCACTGCACTGCTTGCATAACTATATCTTCCACGATGTGTCATGCTCTCTGTTCTTGCATAAGGATCAATCCAGCCACCATTCCTAACACCCGAAGGAATTGGAGGAACTGGCACACTGAGTGTGCTACTCATTGTGTATGATCTGACTTGAGGATCCATTGATGAACTTCGTACACCGTGACCACTCTTTTCAGAAGTCGCCGAATCCGGTCTATCTTCACCACCAAAGGATGGAAAGTGTGTAGGTTCAGCAAGATCAGGAAGACGAGGTGGAGATCTTGGAATCGCAGCTGCTTCGCGAAGTAATCTTTCACGCTGTTGCTCTTGCACTTGAGCAAGATCTTTCTTATGCTTTGAACTTAAATTTCCTGATTTAGGTCGACGAAGGAGTATTAAACCAAGGCTAGAACGACGAGGTGGATTTGGGTTATTATTCTTTCCGTTTTCTGGTATTCCTGCTAATCTTCCAGTGGCATGTGATGGTGAAGTTCCAGCACTTGGGGTTCTCGGTCTGATTGAAGAAACCATCTTGTAGGTCGGTTTAATGGAAACAATGGTGTCTGTCGCAGATTTGACAGGGAAGGCTTGGGTTAATCAATTTACGATGAATTGAATTGATTGAAATTTGAGGAGAAGGGTGAATGAATGGATATTTTTGAATTGAAATTCCCTGTCTGTCTTGATCATTAATAAAATGTATTTAAGGGAAATAAATACAAGGTTGGAACTTGGAGAAAACAAAGGCTGAAAAGAGATGAATGAGTGTTGGGCAGCCAGAAAGAAGCTTTGGCAAGTCAGTGAATGAATGAGATTGAAATTGAGATTGATTGAGATTGCGTTTGCGTTTGCGTTTGTGATTTACATTGAAGGAATCATCTGAATTATGTCTCTCTCTCTCTTGCTGGGTACTCTTGAAAAATGAATGAAATTGAACAAATGGTTAGATACCTAGGTAGGTAGGGTTCTTCTTAACTTTATAATTCATAAGATGAACTACGACTCCTTGAAGATTTTCATTCAAATGGACTTTTAAAGCAAAGTCCCGTACTGCATGAATTGTTGATCTCGAGAGATGAAAGTTCCTGTAGGGCTTGAATCAATTGATTTAAAAAATAGATATGAACGTACCGTCGATGATATCAATTGACCCAGTTTGAGCCAATCTGCCCCAATGACCTCGGAAGATCCTTGAGAAGGCTGTAACGGTTCCAAGCTGTTTTGATGTAGCTTTGACTTTAGTTCCCAACCTAATAAATGAATGGAGGGATGGGCAGTGCTGTGTTGGTAGGTGCTTGAATGAAGAAGTACTCTGTAATTCAACTAAATGTACTAGATAGATGTCAAGGTTCAAAATTAGGAAAAATGAATATAGAGATTGATGCGATGCGTCTCGTAGTGCATTGAAGTACGTACTGTATTGTGGATGGAGGGAGATCACTGATGGATATTAGATTTATTGAGTAGAGGTACGGTACGTGGTAGGACTTACATAGTATAATGATGTTGTTGATGACATTCAGAGAGGAAATACCAAGTACGATGAAAAAAGACGATGGATCGAGGTAACATTAGGTAGCTAGGAAGTATTATTATCGTTATTTCTATGAATCAGGAATCTTTGTATTACTACTTGATACCGTAGTGTACTGATTGTATTGTACTGTACTTATCAATTGTTACTCTTTTTGATCCAATCCAATCCAACCGATCGAGAAGAAAAGGAAGAGACATCAAAGCAAGCAGTATCAAAGTATCTATCTATCTAATATCCAAATATCCATGTGGAGGTATCCAAGTATTTTTCAATTGTTCATCCTATCCATCCCATACTATCCTATAGATACCCATCATCCACTCACTCACTTGACTAAAATCTCCCTCTTTTCTTCCTCTTCTATCGGTATCCTTCTCTCCCACAGCGATCATATCTCCAAATCCCTTCTTCACTACAGCCCATCATTGCATATATACGAACAATCAAAATCCATCCATCCATCCCTCCATCTCCGTCTCCATCCTTATCCTCATCCTCATCCTCACCCTCACCCTCACCCTCACCCTCATCCTAATCCTAATCCCTCCTCACCCAACCCCATAAAACCCCTGGACCTAATGCAGCCAGCCAGTACCTAGCCTAGTACCTAACCCATCCACCCATCCACCCATCCACCCAGTCCATACATAAAACTTCCCGACCCAAAACATGGAGTACCTAGCAAGTCTCAGAATCTAAAAATCCCGAAAAGCCACAATCCAATCCCGTCCAATCCAATCAAGTACACCAAGTACACCATAACCATAAATCACACTAGTAAAATAACAAGGCAAAGACTGGTTGGTGAACAAGCCCCTGAATAAAAAATTTCATTTCATTTTCAGGGCATGCATAGCATAGATAGCATTTAAAATCTCGCACCAAGCTTCTAACACCAATACAGCAAAAGCAAAAGCATAAAACTCAATTCCCCATCTCGTTTTGAAGTGTTTCATCTTTAGATTCATGAAGGACGGAGGATACGGAGGGTACGGAGTACAAGGTGCGTGTTATATACTCCGTAGATACCGGTACGTAGGTACTATATAGGGATTTGTAACTCGTAATTGGTCAATTAATCTGTAATTATCTATCTATCTACCTAGCTAGTGATTTTCTTTTCTTTTCTTTTCTTTTTTTTTTTTTTTTTTTGGATTTCTGTAGGGTATAAAGTACTGTATTCGCAATTATTACTTTGTATATCTGCCTACCTACCTATGTGAGGAGTATGTTAGATAGAATAATTAGGTATATACTCCTATCTGACTCTCTGACTCTCTAACTCTCTAACTTCTCTTTTCTCTTTACCTCTTCATCTCCATCTCCATCTCCTCTGTATATTCTCCCCTTCTTTCCAATCAACTCCAATCAACTCCAATCAACTCCACCATCTCTCTCATCTCATCCCATCCGATCAAACCCATCATCCACTCATCACCCACTCACCCACACACTTATACATAAACCCCACCACTTCATCAAACCACCAAAAAAACACCAAAAGTCGTACCTTACATCCCGCAGCCAACAAACGGAAAATAATTGGATCAATTCCCCGTCTCTGTCTTCGTCTCCACAAACCAACGTACTCTACTCCGTACAGCTGATCTATCTCTCTTAGCTCTTCCTGCCTATCATATCATATCATATGCATCATATGCATCACTCACTTGTGTGTGCTACGTATCTACCGTACGGAGTACCGTACATGAATTTCTTGCATGCCGCTAGTGACACCATATGCTCCGAGCCCCTATCATGTTACTAGTTATCACTTCAAAAACCCGTGGGCTCAAAACATCTCTTCCTTTCACAATCTTTCATTCATACAAGATTAGATAACTCGGATTTGAGAATATTTTTCTCAATTACTCTTATTCTTGTAACTTTTCAATTTTTGGAAGGTATGGTATGCATTAATCGTTCTGCTACTGTATTATGTATCTTTGCTGTGTGGAACAAATATCCATCTCACCACGATAATGTGTGACGCTTTTTCGCTGCTCTCGACATCAAATTCTGCAATCTCCAGTTATATTGACTGCTGTGCACCTCAGTCCCATCCCTTTTGATCACTATGTTCAACCAGGCCGCCCATAACCCAACTGCCAGCCATACACTTTCCCAAGTTTCCTTCCAAAATGCGCTTGAATGCAAAAGACCCCTTTCCCTCAAAAGCAGTGGCCAATATGTGAGGCTTGCTACACAAAATTGCCGTAAAATAATCGTCGAAAATAAATCACAAAGTTCGTGGCCACTTTATGAACAAAAAGACAAGGCAGCGATGCTGCTCAGCCCAAAATGGCCGCCCGTCTCATGAGGTGTACGTTTTAGAAATTGAAAGAAACCATAACGCCGCTGGTCATGTTGACTCTATATCGACAAAGAAAAAGAAAGGTTATTGTATTTACGAACCGAATCTCCAAGGTCACCAGGTAGGCGAAACGGTGAAAAGAGATGTGATGATAACGGCCAAGAAATTCCTAAAACAAAGGAGTGCCGAGTTCAAAGCGCGCTAGCTCCTGGATAAGCAGAATTGGGTATCATCCCACCACGCATGACACGAGGCGGTCCTCGACCACCACGGCCCATAGGCAAGGCAAAGTTGGGATTATCATTCAAAAGCACGTCCTCTCGGCGAGGAGCAACTCTCCTGTTTGGCATCGGTGGTCGCCCGTAGCCACTAGCACCGCCATTCCATCTCGGATTGATCCCCCGTTGCGACACAGACGTAAAGTTAGATCTTTCTGATTCAGCTGGGGAGCGTTGTCCCGACTGGAGCTCCTCTAAGGAATTGTAAGAGTTGTTGCCATCTAGATTCTCTCTAATGGGGTTTGGTTGAAGATGAGAATTAGGATCATGGTTGTTCTCAAAGAAGTGCCAGGAATTCGAATGGCGAGTACTGATGGGGGGTGACATTTGTGCTGAGTTGATCAGCGAAGCGTGGGTCAACGTCTTCGTAATAATTATCATTCGAGTCACCTCGTTTATGCGTAGGTTCGCTAGGAGGAAGTTCGACAGGTTTCGAGGTCTGGTTCAAAGGTGATGATCTACCTGCTTGTGGTCCCGCCCATACTTGTCTTGGTGGTACGTATCTGAAGGGATTAGAAATTGGACGATTCGACCATCTAGAATCACTTACTCATCTTGGCTATACCTACTCGTCTCGCTCATCGAAGTCTCATGCTCCTGTTGTAATTTTTGCTGCTGCAATCCCACCATTCCAGCGACATCCCCATCACTATCTCTAATATTGCCAAATTGTCCAACAAACCCCGGAGGCGGATGTGACGGACTTCCTGTCGAGGCATCCTAATGCTAAATTAGTATGTGACGTCAAAAGTCTAGTGAAGTGTCTACTCACCATTTCGATTGCCTGACCAACCACGCTAATATTTTCCATATTTTCCAACGGTGGAGGCGATTCGGCACGAGGCAGACTACTTGGTCTTGTTTCATCGGGTCTATATGCAACATATCCACCAGGCGGCGCTGGAGAAGTATCTCTAAATCCACCCATAGGCACTGAAGGATCAGATGGTCGTCGACCGTCATATCCAGGTGGAGGAGCTCGCCCACCGCCACCCATCGCCATCATTCCATTGTTCATGCCTCCTCTGTAAGGACCCGGGTAAGCGCCACCTCTTGGCCCATACCCCCCTCTCGGACCATAACCCCCCCTTGGTTGACCATAGCCGTACCCTCCACGATTCGGGCCTGGTGGTGGTCCTCCATAGCCTCCTCTATATCCGCCTCTTGGTGGTCCATAACCACCTCTTCCTGGCGGTCCTTGTGGCATACCACCCCTTCCTCTCAAATTCATGGAATTGTTGGAGTACTGATGGCTTAACGCCGGTCCGGGTGGTCCAGCAGGATGATTCCGGTTTTGCATTTCGTATGCGTTTCCTCCTGGCGGCATCATTACTATCGAGTTGCCGTACTGGTCAAGAGGCGAGCTTCCTGCTCGTGGTGGTCCGTTGTACCCATCCATTCCTTGGCTCCTGATAGATCCACTGGGGATGTTATTAGGAGAATTTTCGCTTGGAGTCCTTGTCGTCAGAGGTATCCGTTCATCACTAGTCCGGTCGTTGTTAGTCGCATCAAACATGGCAAATTCTGGTAACTTTTCGTTTGCCGGACTTTTGGAGATACTGGTGTCGGTCACTACCGGGGTGATCGGATCAGTTCCTTGACGATTGTAGAAATTCTCCCCGTTCATCTCTGCATTTTCCTCAATGCGCCGCTTTCTGGCTTTTCGACTGACCAACGTTCGGCGCATAGCGCATGACACAATACCACTTGCAGCAATAATAACTGTAGCAGCAAGCACAACATATGAGCCCCATGCCATATGAGGTACGAAGAGCAGGACATCGATGAGGAATGCGAGTAGCGTGAGAATTAATGTTAAGATGCTTAGTATAAATATTCCCAACAGGTACCGAGGAGAATGGGAAGGTGCGTGGAAATGGGCGGCGATGGCTAGCACCAGCATTATGAGTGTGAATAATGCAGCGACCGGGTGGACTATGAGAATAGCAGATAACGTTGATCTGGTCTTTGATGGAAGGTCGAACGTTGCCAATTGTTCCGCATCGTAAAGACTTTCTGAATAACCATTTCACATCAGCCCTGTAATTGGCATGCTCAAGTACCCATGCGGAAGCCTGCATCCAAACCATAGGCCTCGAGAATTAAAACTCACCGGTACTGTAACCAATTTCAACGTTACTACAAGTGTCTCCTTTGCAAAACCCAAAGACTCCAAATTGAACTCCATCGAAAGATGCCAATGGTATTGACTTGATGATGGGAGTCGATAGAATCGATATGAGCAAACATGCGAATGCTGCGAGTAGCAATAGCGTTAATGGAGTTGCCGGTCTCAACATCTTGATCTCCTAAGATTTTCAGATGCGTAGAAGATTGAGTATGCCAGCGTCTTCAAGACGCGGCACCTATCGTGGTCTTTCGATCAAAGGGTGAGGTGCACAGGTGATGCTGATGCGGAATGTACCTTGGGTCTCAATTCGTAGACAGTAATTATTGATTTCTCCACTCCTGACCAAACATCGATAAATGGAATAATTTCAGCGATCTAAAATAAAACAAGAGCATAAATTGAATAACGAAGACTTGAATCAATGAGTGTCAGTTGTTGTCGTTTCCTCTCCAGAATGGCCTTTCTAAGAGACTAGAAACAAGAAACGGGCGGGGGGGAATAAGATAACGGCAAGCAAAAGTGCATGTGTATTTGTAGACTTTTGGGGCAAAATTAAGGTTAATAGGGTTGATAACGACGCCTTCCAAGAATGGTTCCTCGTACTATCGCGTTGTAGGTTTAATGCAGGTGAAAGGTTTGGCTTAGGTGCAGTAGAAGAAGGGATATCGCGTGGAATGTCTTTCAATTGGTCTCGTCGTAGCCACAATTGAATTCTTCCGAGATTTCAAGGCTGTGTAGATAAGTAGTAAAAATTGCAATTTTAGATGACAATACAATAGAAAATTGTATAGAAAACTTATCAATTGCACGTCAAAGTTTCCAATTGCTTGTACGAGATGTGCGGAAAAAGATGATACTCTTCGATGTAGTGTTTTCCTTAAATTTCTCGACTGTGTGGATGTTTCGAGTTATTGTCCGTTCCTTGGGAGGTTCGTGCCGTCAAACAGTGTCTCGTCTCAATCAATACTACTCCATAAAGTTAGGAGTTAGGAGGTAGTTAGGAGAGGTGTTCTTTCGTCCCGTTCTTCTGGAGGTAATTGCTCAGCCACATTGATCAAAATCGATTTTAATTCTGCACATGTCCGGTACTTGCACGAGTAAATAAGAAATAATAAGATTGGAAACAAATTCACAATATTCTTGATTTCCGGAGATCTACCAAAGCATATTGATTGATTACGCAAAAGAGAAACGGCACAAGTGAAATGGGAGAGTACAGTATCAATTCACCTCGCAAGCTTCTTTTACAAGCCTGGACCTTGGGACCTGGAAAGACAGAGTACTGTGCATACTACGTACACCTTCTGCACCATTGATTGTAGCTGTACGGAGTACACAAGTTTTCCAAATTGCATCTGCAGCGCAACCCTTCCTCTGTATCCTATAGGCTGGAACGGACTGACAGTGGACAAATTCATTTACAAAGATCTGACAACTTCAAACACTTCACGCGACATCTAGAGTCATAGATCCTATACGCAAATAGTCTAAGTGATTGTATACTTCGCAGAGTAATAGTACGCATCAGCTTCGAATAGGAAATGCACAACTTCAGATTCATGCGTCTTTGAACCTAAAGTGTGACGGCATCCAGTTCAGTCGAGGCATGCATTTGCTCTTATAGTGCTCAATATTCATGAGGGAACACATGAGAGATCTATGCCAATCATTGCTATCGTCGAGTTGAGAGTAAAACACTAATCATGGGAAAGGTCTTTGGGAACTTTAGATAAGGGTCCCTGTAAAAACTCCTCCCAGAAATAAAGTGCCGGACGATCGTTCTGAGAAGCCAAAATACTCCGTACATCGTCGCCGAGCTTTCACTGGCTTTGCCGTCGGATGAATGACATAAAAGATGCTAAGACTTAAAATTACCGCCAGGACATGAGAGGAAGAGGGATCTTGGAAGAACACTACTATTATAGTATTATGGCGTTCCTTCCTTCATCCTTCATTTTCAACAATGATTTCAAAAAGAAAAGGTAACCGTCCATTCCTGTGTCTATTATTGGAAACATCTGCGTCTCCATCCCCATCTTCATCTTCATCGGAAAATGCTCCAAGGGTCCAAGTCTCTAGGAGTGCCACTTATATTAGATTCAAGCGGAAAAGTAAATGTCCTTCTCATTGGTCGGATTATATCATGGCTGGAACTCTCGGTGATGAGTAATCCGATTTCTTATCAGCGATAAGATGGGGTCAACACTAGTTTTGCCCGCACATCATATTACCGTCATCGACTTATCGAAGTTTTTCTTCCGGAATGTATTCTATTCACGACGCCTTTTGAACGTAGGTAGACATGTACCTGCGTATTGCAGGCAGAAGGTTGGGGCCTGTTGTACCATCATGTAATAAGTTATTATCGAATACACTCTCTTTTTCATATCAATTCTCACAGCAATCACGAAAACGTTCGACCCAATATCTAATACGGCCCAAGAAGGAAACGAGCGCAATCCATGCATATGCAAAAGTTCCCAATCGTTCAGTGCAAGCGCAGAGGTATCAGCCTTTTGTGCCTCCATCACCAGCATCGTTGGGGAAAGCTGCACCCCCAAAGCTATATCCTCGAACAATAAAATGGGGACGAAGGCTACTGTACGTTTCGGCGGCGACGGGCATAGCCTACCTTATAGATACACAATTATACGCATCCTCCATCACTAGATCAATGAGGACATTTGGCTTGGGTATATTGGTTGCAATCGATTATAAGCTTAATTTTCGGCCCAAACCGATTCTTGGTGGTGACATTACCGACTTACATAGGAGAAATGCTGAGAAGATGTTCAATCTATTACACCAGAATGGAGGGCTGTATTTAAAAATCGGACAAGCAATTGCTATGCAAAGTGCTGTATTACCTCCTGAATTTCAGAAAATGTTCGCAAGAATGTTCGATGATGCTCCCCAGAATTCGTGGCAGGATGTAGAAAGGGTTATCCGCGAAGACTTCGCAGGCAAAAGCCCCGAAGAAGTGTTCGGTGTTAGTTTTACAAACAAACCCGGGTCTGGAGTTATTGAGACCAAAGCTAGAGCTTCAGCGTCTGTTGCACAAGTACATTGGGCGAGGTTGGCTGATGGAAGGGAAGTGGCAGTCAAAGTGCAGAAACGAGAGATTGCTAGCCAAGTAGGTTGGGATTTATGGGCTTTCAAGTGAGTCTCTTTCATTTGAAATTCATTCAGGAGTAGCTAGGCTTTGCTAACAAATATATCAAGAGTAGTGATGAAAGTATACACATATTGGTTCGACCTTCCTTTATACAGTCTGGTGCCCTACATTACAGAACGCTTAATGTTAGAAACGGACTTTGTAAATGAGGCAAATAACGCAGAGCTAATGGCCCGGCTAGTAGCGGGTGAGCCACGGTTGAACGGTCGTGTTTATATCCCCAAGGTATACCGTGATCTTTCCTCAAAACGAGTTATGACGACGGAATGGATCGAAGGCGTACGTCTTTGGGATAAAGAAGCTTTGACAGCCCCTTGGTATGGTGGATATGGTAAAGGTTCACCCGGAGCGAAAGGAACTCCACTATCAACCCCTTCGCCAGCCAAAATTACAAATGATGATCTTAAGCCTGATCGTAGCGGGGAATGGAGAGGTCGTCATGGCAAAGGTGGTCTAGGACTTAGTCTCAAACAAGTCATGACAACCATGGTTGATCTCTTTTCCGCACAAATGTTCCTCTGGGGGGTTGTACATTGTGATCCTCATCCAGGAAACATTTTTATCCGAAGACAGCCTAATGGTCAACCGGAACTTGTCTTAATTGATCATGGTCTTTACGTTTATATGACTCCAGAATTCCGTCACCAATACTGTCAATTTTGGAAAGCAATCATGACCTTTGATAATGCCTCTCTCAATAAAATTACTTCTGCCTGGGGCGTCAAAGCTCCAGATCTTTTCGCGTCAGCAACTCTTATGCGCCCATATGACGGTGGTGACAATAGCACCAAGGATCGCATCACCAAAGATTTGGAGGGCAAAACGGCTGCCGAACGCCATTACGAAATCCAAGAAAGATTCCGTCAAGGTATCAGGGACGTCCTATCCGAAGAGGAGAATTTCCCACGTGAACTCCTCTTCATTGGTCGCAACATGCGTATTGTGCAAGGCAACAATCAATTTCTCGGCTCTCCTGTTAATCGTATCAAGATGACAGGTTATTGGGCATCTCGCAGTTTGGTCGATAGCAAGGATTTGAG